GAGGCGAGGCGGGGGAGCGGCGCCATGGAGCGCTACGAGAAGCTGGGCAAAGTCGGCGAGGGCTCCTACGGGGTAGTTTTCAAGTGCCGCAACAAGGACACGGGCCAAATCGTGGCCATCAAGAAGTTCCTGGAGTCCGAGGAGGACCCGGTGATCCGCAAGATCGCCCTGAGGGAGATCCGCATGCTCAAGGTGCGCCCGGCTCCATGGTGAGGGAGCGCCATGGGGGACCCATGTGGAGAAGGGGCATGAGGGAGCGGGGAGGAGGCAGCTGGGGCGGTTGGGACCCCCAAGAACCCGGTTGGGACCCCCAGGAGTGCAGGCTCCTCAGGCGGCCGTCACCTTTGACAGAGTGTTGGTGGCACGCAAGCTGCCACAGGCTTTTCCTCACGGATAGGGGATGAACATCACCCCAGTGGTCACTTTTAGAGGTGAACCGATGCGGTCGGTGCTCGCCTCCTGGTAAAGAGACCCCGGATCTGCCATTCCGCAGCTTTTGGGCACACGTTCATCCCTGGCACAGGAGAACGGGCTCTGGCTCCGTTCTTGCTCTCCATGTGCAGCTAGGAGAGTGTGCTGGAGGCAAGAGCCTGGGAGAAGGAGGATGAGGATGCGCTGAGTTTTCCCCTCATACCCATCTTTCAGCAGAGCTTCTAAGCCAGGAGGTATCTCCATAGTTTCGTGTTCAGCAGACGCTTATGCACGTTCCTGTTGAGCTCTTCTCTAATCTCAGTATATGGATTTGGTGTCCACAGTGTCCTGAGGCAGGGAATCCCCATAGCCACGTAGAAAAATATATATATGTCCTTTTATTTGTTATAAACTTGCTGCTGGGTGATGCCATGCGGTGCCCCCAGTTGTGTGGCATGAGAAATGGAGAGTTGTTCCCTTCTCATGTCCTCCTGCCCGTTTGTGATGTTGGAGGCTGCTGTCGTGTCCCCATCTTCACTTATCTCTTTTTCTCTGCAGAAGAAACCTGGCTTTAAACACAAAGACCAATATTTGCAAAACATGGGTACGCTATAAATTTTGAAGTAATGACTTCCAGCAGAAGCACCTTTTTAAGGGATACATACAGTTCAAACAGACACAGTGTGGTTTTTTTTAGACAGTTATGAGTTCAGGCTTTTGGAGTTAACAAGGCTCTACAGAAATCCACAGAGAAAGATGTACCCTTTGATTTAAGACTTCTTTCCTGGCAATGGCAGTCCCTGGGTCTCTGATCTCAACACGATGCTGTGCCCAGGCTTTGCTACGCGTTGAGGTTTTGTGTAGTTGATCACTCATTGCCCTCAGTGTTCCCTCCCTGGGAGCTTTTTTGCTCTCTGGAAACCAAGTAACTTTCAGATTTGTAGTTAAGTGCAAGTTTTCAGCAGATTGTGACATTTCTGATACTTTGTTTTTGTCTAAATCTCTTTTTTGCTTTTGGCTTACTGGAAATTTATAAATTGCAAAAATGTTATTGTCAAAAGAATATGATCCTCCAGCAAAATAAGCACTGATTTTATGGTTGAGGTGGTAGAAAAGCCATCATCTAGGGAAAAAGAAACGTAATTTTCTGATAGATTTGGGGGAGAACGCAGGTAGGTTTTTGTCCTATCTAAAGCAACGAGAAGACATTTAGCTGTGCCTTTCAAGCCAACAGTGCTTGAGATGCATTGAAAATTAAATGATTAATAAAGATGTGTAAAGGAAAATAGTCATTGCTGAAGACAGTAGTAGTGAGGATGGTAAATTAATTGTCTATAAGGGCACAAAGCCCAGACCACTGCGGCTTGCCATGGCAAGAGCTGTGCCGGGCAGTGTTGATTTTAACAAGTGCAGACCTGCTTGACTATCTTTTCAACTTTTTCTCGGTAAATAGTAACAGTTTGTTTGTTTGTTTGTCCAGGTTATTGCCTGGCTTGGGCGACAACTGAGTGTTTGTGAAAGACTGAGGGAGGTTGTGTTTCATCGGTGAAAAATGTAGGGCCTGATAAGTTACGGTTCTGCAGAGCAAATACCTTGCGACGAAGGGCAGGAGCCGCGGAGGCCGGCGGAGCGGGGAATGCCAGCACCCCGTGCGATCCGCGGGCGCCGGGACGGCCTGGGAGCCGGGAAAACGGGAGCTCCTCTTCGTGTCAACCCCGCTGTGACTGTGGAAACCTGACGCCGCGGTTTCCAGGAGGCTGCAGGGAGCTCTTTGCAGGAAAGCCTCCGTGGGGGCCTTCCCTGTGCGGCCGTGAGGGACTCATCCCTACCCTGCGCGTGGAAAGTTCAGGTTGAGCCTCCTCCTGTCGTCCCTCAGGGACGTGGATGTGGAGAGTTGGTGCTAAATATGTCATAAGGTCAGGACTGTTCTTGGGTGCTGCTATGTGAGGAAAATGCTGTCACTTAAAACCTTCTGCTGTGAGAAACCTGAAAGAGGTCGGTTTATATCTGCAGCGTGCGGAGACGCTCTGTGTCTCCATTAAGATATTCCATGCTGGAGAAGCTCCCCTGGGAAGTGGAAACCCTGCTGGAAGGGGCGAGTCAGCCTGGCTGGGACCTGACAGGGAGAAGAGGCAGGGATGGGACTCGCAGAGCAGTGTAAGGCAGCAGCTTCGAGCTGGCCTTAGTGCCGTTGCACTGCGGGCAGTACGGTGGCAGCTCGGTAGGATCGGTCCTGCAGAGATGAAACCTCCTGCCCCACAACACGGGAGTGCACGCGGGAGAGCGAGGGTCCATACTGGTCTTTCCAGTCTTGCCCCTCCGCTGCCTTCTCCTTCACGGGCTTTTCCAGATCCCTGGGAAGCGCGTTAGAAGATGGCATTAGTGTAACTCCTAGGCAATGCCCTTTCCAGGCTCCTTGCTCAGAAATGTGTTTGTTCCAAAGCCCTCGTGGATACAAGTCCCTGCAAGCACGGGGGCTGGTGCCATCAGTCATCTGAAAAGAAAGCGCATGTTCCTGAGCTGCATCTGGCTGCTCTTTGTTTCCTTTTCTGATCACTTTATTGTGCCCCTTGCTTAGAGCTGCCCTTCAAGTCCTCCCACAAAATGTGGGAAAAAGAGTATAAAATTAGAAACTCCAGTGATTTCCCTCCTCACTTTTTGTGGGGTCCATCCAAAATCCAGTGGGGCTCAGGCTGGGCAAACGGTGGGAATTGCCTGAGCTCCCCAGGAGAGGAAGCCCTGGCATGAGCCCGTGAAGTGGTGCTTGAGGGGGAGAGGGGGAAGCAGCAGTAAAACTTTTCCAAAGTTTTCCCTCGCTGTGTGTTTGGTTTCCCTGGTTCCGTGTTCCTGTGCTACAGGCTCCTTCCTGTGATTTCCCAAGCTGTTCTCCAAGGCGCTGCTTTTCGCTGCGGTGCAATCTAAGGCTGGAGACGGACAACAAAAGGCGCCGCCGGAATCGCCGTGGGCACCGCGATGGCTTCTTGATCTAGGAGCATCTTTCCGAAGGGGCGCTTGCTGCAGCCGAGCTGACCTGTGGCCCACAGTAACTCATCCGTTGTGTGTTCCAGCAACTGAAACACCCCAACCTGGTGAACCTGCTGGAGGTGTTCAGGAGGAAGCGCCGGCTGCACCTCGTCTTCGAGTACTGCGAGCACACGGTTCTGCACGAGTTGGACCGGCACCCCCGGGGGTGAGCGGCCTGCGTCGCGCGGGGGCAGGAATCGGGAGCCCCTGTGGAGCCCCTGGTTGCTCTGCAGCGCTTTCAGGCACCTCGTTAGTAACGTTAGTAATGAGCGGTTCCTCAGCGCGGTGCCCACTCGGTTACTTCAGCAGTCGCGTCCCAAAGAACCCCCCGAAAGGCTGCGTGCACCCCGCGCTGCGCTGCTCACCGAGGGGAGCCCTGAGCGTTCAGGTGGCCTTTGGCTGGCTCCACAGCTGCAAAATCGGGGGCGTTTAGAGGAGCTTGTGTCCCACAGCAAAGAGCCTAGGGCTTCGAGGAGGGGGGGGTGGCTGTGTGGCTCATCTGTGACAGTCGCATGGGGAGTTTGGTCTGGTTGGAAGCTGACGCGTGTCCTGTGGGCTCTACCTTTTCTGCAGCTCCTGGGTGCACCCCTTTATGGGAGAGGGGATCATCGCACGGGGCCGGTTTGGACCTTCCCGGCATTTTTTAAGGGAAGGAAGTGACAGAGCTGTCACACAGACTGTCACCCGGCCCCGCGCAGGCACCGGGAGCAGCCCTGCAGGCCGGGGTTGGCACTGAGGTCCGGCTCTGCGCGGAGGAAGCTCTGCTCTTCCCTCCAGCACTGCTCTGAGCCTGGTTTTGGAGCCAAGCAGGGGCTGGGCTGGACGAGGCTTCACTGCTGGGGCTCTGGTGCTCTTTGTGCCCATGTTCTTTCTGGACAGATCAAAAAGAAAGGGCTGGATGGGTAAAGGTCAGCTCTGCACGAGGCAGGAAAGGTTTAGGTTTTATAGCATGAAAACTTGTGAGCATTTGGGGCACTTTAAGGGTTGGAGTTACCTGGGAAGAATAGGGAATCCTTTATTGGCAATTTTTAACCAAACATCTCTTCTGGAAGGCCTGAGCATGTGGGTAGGGAGATGGACAAGTCCCTTTCTCACCCTGTCCTTGTAAGATGATGACACCCTGAAAACCTCAATAATTGCTCCACAGAGTAACACTCTGTTTGATACTCAGGTTTGTTTCGGGGTGCTCACCTTTGCTTGCGTCTGTCAGACTCTTGTTCCAGCATCCTGCATCGTGTCCCTGCTGACATCCTTCTGTGGGACGTGTCCATGCACAAACAGCCCAGGTTGTAAACCTACCTGAGCCAGCAAAGAGAGGGAGGAAAGGTCAGATCTCCCCTAGCACCAAGTGTGAGCTGTATGAGCAGAAGGGAGACATTCCCCAGGGCAGGGCTCGCTCTTTTGACGCGTTATGAATGATGCTCCCACTAAATATATCATCCCTAATAATTTGCAGTGACTTGGTGCCATGGAAATGCTCGGTGTAAGTCCATAGATCATTCTGTGGGCCTTGGAGCTAAATGAATTGCGTGTAGGAGACTAATTGGGGGTTGAGTAAACAAGAGCCTGTTATTCTTTCTCACTCATGTGGAGCTTTAGGAGGAGGATGGAGTGCTCTGGCTCTCCGTGCACGAGTGAGCAGCTTCCACCCCAGCACAGTTTGAGGCTGTTCCCTGGAATCGTGCCAGGTCCCCCGTCAATTTTGGGGAAAAAGCTTTACATCTGCTTTCCATTCATTCCGAACAGCCTCGACGTGAACACACAGGGCCTGGTTGCATATTTGCTTTTGATCTTTGCTCCTGCAGATGGTCAGGCCTTTTTGGCACAAGACACGTGGGCACCTGCCTCTTGGCACCAGGTTTCCATTTGACCAACCTCAACCTTTAGTCAGAGACCCCCATGTGATCTTCTGGCCTGAAAGGCCTTCCTGTCCTTTCTCCTGTAATAGTAAAGTTATGTTGAATGGCTAAAATTAAAAATGTCCTTTTTTTAAACAGGGTGCCAGAGCATCTTGTGAGGAGCATAACCTGGCAGACTCTGCAAGCTGTGAACTTCTGCCATAAACACAATGTAAGTCACCTCTATAGCACCGAGGAGTGCTGCACTGTGGCTTCGAGAGGCAGGTTGTGTTGCTGCCTTCCTGATTACACAGCTTTCATGAGAAGAAGTCAGATGAGATCTTCCATTTTTAATAGAAAATATATGTCTGAACTGTTAGCAAATATCTGCACTGGCCGTATCCTCTCTCATGCATGTCCCCTGGGTTTGCTGTCAAGGAATGATTTACACCAGTGACATAGGGCAGCTTCCAGGCTGAACAGGAATGTATCCCTCATGTTCCCTGTGTCACCCATCACAGCTGAAGTTGCAGAAAACTGGAGTCGTGCCTGATCAAGCAAGATCTGAGCAAACTCCTGCTGGTTTCCCAGTGTCCTTCTGTTGACAGTCACAGCCACTGGGTCAGGTCACTTGTTAAAACTTTGCAAAACTTAAGTACACGAGAAACGTTTCACAGCCTGCTCTGCTAGAAGGAGATGAGAGCTCTATGGTAAAAATGTGTAGAAAGCTATGAGGCTGCTTTAAGAAGCAGGGAAGGAAAGGACCGTTCTGAAGAAGGTCTTTAGGCAGCCTTAGCTGGGATGCTTGGCTTTTGTTTATCAGACAAGGTCTGAGATTTAAGAGGCAGGCAGGAGATCCCGCTGGAATGGGTGTTCTGTCTTTGCTGGGAGAATTATGTGTGTCTGAGCCACAGGAACTTGGCCATAGGTCTGTCCTGCTTCCAGGATTTGTTGTTTTGTTTCTTTTCTCCTGTACCCCCTCCTCAGTCTGAAAGACTTAATGGAGTTTTAAAACTGAAGGGACAATTAGATGGTGCAGCCTGACCCGCTGTAGATCACAGGTAATGAGGTTTTATGCAGCTGCTCTTTTCTGGGGCTCATGACTTTCATTAACAAGCAGCTTTTCAGGCCTCAGCAGGAGATAAAATAATTTACCAGCAGCTGCACCAGGAAGCTCCAGGGTGTTTACAATGCCCAAGGCAAAGGCAGGGAAGGGATGAAGTGCACTAGATCTGTGCGTCTCAGCAGAGCACACCTGCCATTCAAAGGCAGAGCAAATTAAGGTGCTGGTTTGATCAGCAGAGACTCTTTGTGAGACCTAGATTTAAGGCTGAAGCCTCCACAGTGTCTCCTCCCAAAGCAAAGTGATTGTGATGCCCACATCACAGATGGCTTTAGCTGCTCCTAAGGAACCTTCATTTCTCTCCCAGCAGCAAAGACTGCCTCTTTAAAACTCATGGCACATTTTTCAAGGGGTATATGGTGGTATTAACAGGTTCTTTACCAAAGGCCAGGGTAAATTATCCTTTCTGACTTTGTTCTTTTTCTTTTCCTTTTCCTTTTTTTTTTTTTTCTTGTTTCCAGTGCATCCACCGGGATGTAAAGCCAGAAAACATCCTGATAACAAAGCACTCAGTCATCAAACTCTGTGACTTTGGATTTGCCCGCATTCTGAGTGAGTGCTCCCTAGTTCCACACACAGATTGTTACCTGGGAAAGCTCAGATAAAGCACAGGATCAGGCTCTCAAGCCCCAGTGAAGACCCGCTTGTCTTTGTGGGATGCATGTGTAAATCATGCTGTGTAAGGACTGGCTGGTTTCCACGGAGAGGCTCTGCTAAAAGCCTTGGAGGTGCCAGGAGAGAGATCCTCAAACCAGCTTAAAGGCACCCAATTTGGGCACAATGGGGGCAGTTCCCTCTGCAAAGGAGCTGCTCCTGAGCGCTCTGCTCATGCAGCTCAGTTGTGCCTGGTGCTGGAGCAGGTGGGTGCAAGTTGTCCTGGGCCTCTCCGCGCTGCCCTGTAGTCACTTCAGTGCTGCTGGAGCCACAGCTGGGGTTCCTGGCAGGAGGAGCCCCCCTGGCAGGAGCCACTGTCTCTGCAAACAATCGCTTCACATTTTCCATCATTATAAACCCCCTGCATTTTCTTTTTAGCCCTTGTTGAGACAGGTCACGTGAGGTTTGGGAAGCGATGCAGGCTGACGCAGGGGCCCACTGCAGAGCTCTGCATATTTTCGTTTTGAGAAAAACATGGTTCTGATTTTTGCCAAATCATAAGTGTTTCCGAAGTTGGGTTCTGCTAGCAGCCAGTGACTCATCCTGTTCCTGTGGCTGTTGCCTGCTCAGGGCTGCTGCTGTGTGTTTTACACATCTCGAGATGTGTAAAAACTCAAGGCAGCTCTTTCGCATGGTTCTGATCCCGCATTCC